TACAATGGGGGTACAGGTATCTAGGGTAAATACAGCCATTCCAAATGGGAGAAATTGGCCAAAACAAAGGGGTTACAGGGCCCATGCAAGTCTGAAATCCAGTGGGGCAATCAAATTTTAAAGCTCCAAAATGATTTCCTTTGACTCCACGTCTCACATCCAGGCAAGAGGTGGGTTCCCATGGTTTTGGGCAGCTTTGCCCCTTTGGCTTTGCAGGGTACAGCCTCCCTCCCAGCTGCTTTCATGGGCTGGCATTGAGTGTCTGCAGCTTTTCCAGGTGCACTGTGCAAGCTGTCAGTGCATCTACTATTCTGGGGTCTGGAGAACAGTGGCCCTCTTCTCACAGCTCCACTAGGTGGTGCCCCAGTAGCGACTCTGTGTTGGGGCTCCAACCCCACATTTCCCTTCTGCACTGTCCTAGGAAAGGTTCTCTATGAGGGCTGTGCCCCTGCAAACTTTCACTTGGGCATCCAGGCATTTCCATACATCTTCTGAAATCTAGATTCCCAAACCTCAACTGTTTTTTGTGTTTTTTTTTAGATGGAGTTTCACTCTTGTCACTCAGGCTGGTGGGCAGTGGTGCGATCTCAGCTCACTGCAACCTCTGCCACCCAGGTTCAAGTGATTCTCCTGCCTCAGCCTCCCGAGTCACTGGGATTACAGACGCGCACCACCATGCCCAGCTAATTTTATATTTTTAGTAGAGACGGGGTTTTGCCATGTTTGCCAGGCTGGTCTTGAACTTCTGACCTCAGGTGATGGGCCCACCTCAGCCTTCCAAAGTGCTGGGATTACAGGCATGAACCACCATGCCTGGCCCAAATCTCAATTATTGACTTCTGTGCACCCACAGGCTCAACACCACATGGAAGCTGCCAAGGCCCGGGGCTTCCACCTTCTGAGGCCACAGCCCAAGTTGTATGTTGGCCCCTTTCAGCCACAGCTGAAGCAGCTGGGACACAGGGGACCAAGTCCCTAGGCTGCGCACAGCACAGGCACTCTTGGTCTGGCCCATGAAACCGTTTTTTGCTCCTGGGCCTCTGGGCCTATGATGGGAAGGGCTTCTGTGAAGGTCTGACATGGCCTAGAGGCATTTTCCCCATGGTCTTGGGGATTAACATGAGGGCCCTTGCTACTTATACAAATTTCTGCAGCCCACTTGAATTTCTCCCCTGAAAATGGGTTTTTCTTTTTTATCATGTAGTCAGGCTGCAAATTTTCCGAACTTTTATGCTCTGCTCCCTTACAAAACTGAATGCCTTTAACAGTACCCAAGTCACCTCTTGAATGCTTTGCTGCTTAGAAATTTCTTCTGCCAGATACCCTAAATCATCTTTCTCAAGTTCAAAGTTCCACAAATCTCTAGGGCAGGGGCAAAATGCTCTAGCTTTAGCAGTCTCTTTGCTAAAACATAACAAATGTCACCTTTACTCCAGTTACCAACAAGTTCCTCACTCCATCTGAGACCACCAAAACCTGGAACTTACTGTCCATATCACTATCAGCATTTTGGGCAAAGCCATTCAGCAAGTCTCTAGGAAATTCCCAAACTTTCCCACATTTTCCTGTCTTCCTCTGAGCCCTCCAAACTGTTTCAACCTTTGCCTGTTACCCAGTTCCAAAGTCACTTCCACATTTTCGGGTATCTTTTCAGCAGTGTCCCACTCTACTGGTACCAATTTACTGTTTTAGTCCGTTTTCACCCTGCTGATAAAGACATACCCAAAACTGGTAACAAAAAGGTTTAATTGGACTTACAATTCCACATGGCTGGCGAGGCCTCAGAATCATGGCGGGAGGTGAAAGGCGCTTCTTACACGGTGGCAGCAAGAGAAAATGAGGAAGAAGCAAAAGTGGAAACCCCTGATAAACCCATCATATCTCGTGAGACTTATTCACTATCATGAGAATAGCACAGGAAAGACTGGTCCCATGATTTAATTACCTCCCCCTTGGTCCCTCCCACAACACGTGGGAATTCTGGGAGACACAATTCAAGCTGAGATTTGGTGGGGACACAGCCAAACCATATCAGCATCAAAACTCTGTAAGCATGCGGATGACTCCTTCCATGGGACAATGGCAAGTGATGGACTAACTGTAGCAACACTGGTTTCTTAAGCTCATGAGGTGTTTTGCATGTGATTCAACACCTTCTAGTATATGGGGGATGTGACATCTATTACATTGTTCTCTACTTTTAGGGATTTGGTGGAAACAGTAGACCTCAGGAAGACTGGTATTAAACATCCTATTACATGTGTACATTCATAGACATGCCATTGTGTGCCAACTGAGCATGGGAGAGAGGGAGAACTTATCTAGATGGTATGTTCTTTAGAAGATAGCATGAATGAGAATAAATATGAAGACACATCGTAAATATAAAGTGATGATGATTTTTATGCTATCCTATGCTATTTGTGTGGGACTCGATTGGTGGGTGGAAAAGCAGAGAATTTTAGGAAATAGAGTAAGTGAAGAGGAAGGAGAAAGCCACCAAAAAAATTAGTAGGGAGGATAGAAAATTTCAGAAGAACAAGTGGACAAAGAATCTGAAGAAATAGTTAACATTTTAGAGGCCAGGTGCGGTGGCTCATGCCTGTAATCCCAGCTCTTTGGGGGGCCAAGGCAGGAGGATCACCTGAGGTCAGGAGTTTGAGGCTAGCCTGGCCAACGTGGCGAAACCCCATCTCTACTAAAAGTACAAAAATTAGCTGGGCATGGTGGCGGATGCCTGTAATCCCAGCTACTCAGGAGGCTGAGGCAGGAGAATCACTTGAACCTGGGAGGCGGAGGTTGCAGTGAGCCGAGATCACGCCACGGCACTCCAGCCTGGGTGACAAGAGGAAGATTCCGTCTCAATTAAAAAAAAAAAAAACATTTCAGGGAATCTCAGTAGACAAGGGAAAGGTACACTGAGCAGAAACTTGGCAACCCAGCTCCCCTGTGACCCTGATGATCAGCTGGGCATGGAACCATTTTCCTAGTCTACCTTGCCTGAATGTTACAGATGCTCGGAAACACTGTTGGTTTCCTCTCGCTGTTATGTTTCAGCTCTACTAATCCTCTGCATCTCCTTTGGGAACCACTGGACTAGAGGATGTCTAAGGTCAAGTCAAGCTCTGGGAGTCTACAAGGCACTCTATTATCTAAAGACAGTCATTTTGGGAGCTCAGCTCCACAGCCTTCCTTTAGAGTGGCAGTATCCTGAGTAGAAACTGAGACTAAGCTGGAAATTAGGCTGTGTCTCTGGAATAGCAAATAGACTCAACTTCTTAAGAATGTTCATTTAGGCTGGGCGCGGTGGGTCACGTCTGTAATCCCAGCACTTTGGGAGGCTGAGGCGGGTGGATCATGAGGTCAGGAGATCGAGACCATCCTGGCTAACACAGTGAAACCCCATCTCTACTAAAAATACAAAAAATTAGCCGGGCAAGGTGGTGGGCGCCTGTAGTCCCAGCTATTCGGGAGGCTGAGGCAGGAGAATGGTGTGAACCCGGGAGGCGGAGCTTGCAGTGAGCCGAGATTGCGCCACTGCACTCCAGCCTGGGCGACAGAACGAGACTCCATCTCAAAAAAAAAAAAAAAAAAAAAAAAAAAAAGGAATGTTCATTTATAAGCAGAACTCAGCTGGGACTTGGCAACAGAGGATGCTAGCTTCCTGGAGCCTCACTGTAGGTCAAGGTAATGTGGTGACAGGGTTGGGCCCTGGAGCATCCAGGTAAGCCCAGTATTGCCAAGGCCAGGGACTGGAGCTGTGAGAAGATAAGGGAACTCCCTTGTGTAGTTGTTCCAGAAAGCAGGCTACAGAGTTGCTAAAATAAGTGGAATTAGAGTAAAGGAAGGGCCAGGAGACCCTATGAGCAAGAAGGAAACAGAGCAAGAACTAAAAGGAAGAAGAGGTCTATAACAATGGTGGCTCATGCCCGTAATCCCAGCACTTTGGGAGGCCGAGGTGGGCAGATCACCTGAGGTCGGGAGTTCGAGACCAGCCTGATCAATATGGAGAAACCTCATCTCTACTAAAAATACTAAATTAGCCAGTGTGGTGGTGCATGCCTGTAATCCCAGCTACTCAGGAGGCTGAGGCAGGAGAATCCCTTGAACTCCAGAGAAAGAGGTTGTGGTGAGCCGAGATCAGGCCGTTGCACTCCAGGCTGGGCAACAAGAGCAAAACTGTCTCAAAAAAAAAAAAAAAAAAAAAAAAAAAAAAAAGAATGGAGCTCAGAAAGTGCTTGGTGGACTCAGGCAACTCAGGCAACCCAAGAGCCTTGGTTTCCAAAGCTTCCAAGAGGCAGACAGAGGTAGAAGCACGGACAACACCAACTGCCCATGCCTTCCTCCAGCTCCAGGGAACCTGGCCCAAAGAGCCACAAAGAAGGGTGACAACTGGGGATACATGGAAAGGGCATTCAATCCATGCTTAAATATTTGAGTGAAACAAGGTTAGACCATTACTGCCACCATTGATGTGTAGCTGAAGTGATGAAGTAGTTTTTCTAGGGAGCTTGAAACGTCAGCTCCATTACTTTAGAACTGTGCAATGTATTATCAGCTGTTCCAACAGAAAAGCTGCTCTAAACAGTTTGTAAATTGTTTATTTTTAACCCACAGGCTTGCGGTGGAGTTTGGCAGTGAGGAGACTTAGTGTAACAGAAGAAAGTCACCCAAGCTGCCTGAGGAAAGAAACCTTCAATTGAGGTGGCTTTAGTGATGCCCTTTATATTAATTGCTCTGTATACTGGGTAACGTCTATGGACCCTAGAGAAGTCTCAGATATGGCCCAGAAAGAAGAAGAACAAGAGAGAAAGAGAGAAGAGAGAAGCAGACAGAGAGAAGGGGAGGGGAAGGGGAGGGGAAGGGGAAGGGGAAGGGAGGAGGGAGGGGGCGCGGGCGGGAGGGGAAGGGAGGGAGGAGCGGAGGTTATAGTCCTCGGATCCTCCTGCAGAGCAGTAGAAAGTCCGGGAGGGGCCCGTGCCCGTGGCTCCAGAAAAGGAGCGGCCAGGTACCTGCCAGGTGCGACCAGGCACTTCCAGGTGCGACCAGGTACCTCCCAGGTGCGGCCAGGCGCCGCCTCATCTCTCAGTGGGCGACTGTATTTATTCTAAACCTAGACTGAGAGATGACAGCTTCGAGTTTGATCGGGAAGGAAACACCTCGCATGCCAAGCACAAAGGGGCTTACTCGTTTCTTTCCTGCAGCGGCAGCTTTCACCCTCCCTCCTGTTTCTCCGCTTTCCCTCCTTTCCCTCCACCATTCCCCGCCCACCCCTGCCCTTCCCGGGTGGGACACGTGAGCTGGTTTGCTGCCCGGATGGAGGCTCTAGGGCTCCGCAGCTCCCAAGGCGCTCCCGGATGAGTCTGCGACGCGTGGAGCGACAGCGCTGCGCCAGCCTCGTGGCCCACACCTGCGGCTTGATGTGTTTCTTAAAGGGCCCTTCCCTCTTTCCCGCTGCAGCTGACCTCTCTTCAGCCTCCTCGCTCACCTTAGTTTCACCTTATCCACGTTCTTGCGCTCTCAGTGTTTGTCCCCTACAACCCCTTTCCTTCCTGTACTGACTTTCACCATTACCTTCTCTTCTTTCCTCTCATTTACATATCTGTTTTTATCTTCACTGTTTAGCTGGGGTCTCACCCCTTACCCCTGTCCCCATTAACCCAGCCTTTTCCCTCCTTTTCTTCTCAATGTTTTTGAACCCCTTTTCCTCAGCTAGCCATGAGTAACACTTGACAGCGGTAGAACCTGGCTTACTTCTGGAACTAGAAGGAGATCCTCGAAATAACTAAATTTAGGACACGCTTCGCCGACATATTAAACAGAGCACAGGTAATGTACTTAAACCTTTCTTGATGACTCAGGTGGACAGTGTTCAGGATGAACTGTGGTGGGAGGAACTTCATGGATTGACTACACTTTGAGGTCAGCATGGTTGGGTTCTCAAATTGCAGAATCAGCAGCTTTATCCTTTTGATTCACCAGGAGCAATCACACATTGTAGAGTCACACTATAACATTCGCAAGAGAACAAAGACAAAACTAGAGTGTCAGTGTATTGATTTATTTGGGGGGATAAACTGTTAGTGGTAGAGATGGGCAAGATGCTCACCAATCCTGTTTCTTCTGCCTGGGCACATAGGGAGACTATATTCCTCAGCCTCACTTGCAGTTAGGTGAAGCAATGTGATTGAGTTCTACCCAAGTGAATGTGGGCAGAAGTGATATATACCAGTTGTAGATATAGCTAAAAAATGTCTCAAATGCTGGAAGCAAAGGATTTTGCAATGGAGGAGAAACACAATAGAAGAATCCTGGATCCATGAGTCACCACATGGAAGAGAGCCACCAGGAGAGATGCCTGATTCACTCTGGATTATCATGTGGACAAGAAATAAAATGTTATTATGTTAAGACACTGAGCTTTAGAGATTGTTTATAAGTTAGCATCAGTATATTTTTACAGGGGAAAAATAACTTGTTTCCACTGTTCCAAATACCCATTTCCCATACCAAGGTAGATAAAAAACCTTGTTGTCAGAGGCTTGCTTGGTGAGCTTGAAATAGAGCAAAGCCCTGAGAGTTAGTTTATTTAACTGCAATTCAACTTAAGCAAGAATGTTTGCTTTAGCGTAGAATACTGGAAAAAAGTTGATGATGCAAGTAAGGTGAGAGCGGCATTTAAATGGTCATTTTTGAAACGTGGGGTACCATCTAACTACCTGTTCATCTTTTGATTTAGGAGAAAAGAGGAGCATGAGAACCCAGAGGAAATTGTACCTATTCAGAAGTGTGGAGTGAGGATAGAAGTGCCCAGATTCAAAGGCATCATGAAGTGTCATGACAAGATAGAAAAGACTTTGAGCTGGCCAAGAAGGAATTGGACAAAATTATGAGTGAGGTAGGTGTTAGTTAAGTTCCAGGCACACATATGGTTTGCCATCTCGTCAACATCTCCATGTGAATGCCTAATCAGTGTTAACAGAAAAACTTTTGACAAATTAAATTTAACAGAGTTTATTTGAGCAAAGAATGATTCATGAGTTGGGCAGCACTCAGAACTAGAAGAGGTTTGGAGACTGCCCTGCAAAGTGGGTAGTGAGTACTTATAGACAGAAAATGGAAGTGAAGTACAGAAATAGCTTGATTGGTTACAGCTAGGTGTTTGCATTATTTGGACATGGTCTGATCAGTTGGCTGCCCATGATTAAAGCTTAGCTGCTTGTATTGGCTAAGATTGGGCTATCTGTTACCAAATATATACTCCTAAATTAGGTTTTCAGTTTGTTTACTTACTGAGTTAGCTTGCAGTTTGCTACATAGTGAGTCAAAGTAGAGAAACAGCCTCAGGCAAATGGCCTCCTGCTTATTTAATTTAATACAGGCCTTCCAAATTTAGCAAGTCCAAAACTTCCTCCCAAAGCCCCTCCCATCTCAATAAACATTTATTCTATTTTTCCAATTTCTTGGGCCAGAAAACATAAAGCTTGTCTTAACTCATCTCTTTCTCATGCTCCACGTTAAGTCCATTAGCAAATTCTGTATGCCTTACCTTCAAAATATGTCCAGAAATCAGCTACCTCTACCATCAGGCTGTGCCACTTTGTTCCAAGTGACAAACTTATCTTCCCTATGGTGGTGCAAAGGTCTCCTAATTGCCCTCCCTGCTTCCAGCCTTGCTTCCCTACTATCTATTTGCAGTCACAACATTTTTATTTTAAAATGGAAATCAGATTACATTAATCAAACTCTCCAAATGATTGCCATCTTACCAAAAATGAAATCCCAAGTTCTTATTGTGGTCTCCATGATCTGTGCTCCTGCTTCATGAGAAGAGGAACTTAGTCTGTTTTGTTCTGTTTTGTTTACTGCTGTGTTCCCAGCAAGAATGTTGTCTGGCACACATTAGGTATTTACTAAGTATTTATTGAATGATGGATATAGAGATAGAGACTATGAGGAAAAAAAAAAAAGGAAAGAATATTTGAGACCATAGTCACAAGCATACATGGCATGGATTTAATGACCTTTGGTGGTGATAGCTCAAATGCTACAACATGAGAATGTCACCACTGTATAAGGAAGATCTTGGAACACACTCAGTTTCCTATTTTTTATGAAAAATATGAGGCTTTCTCCAATGGAAATGAGGAAGACAGTTAATTCCACAAGCATCTTGGATTCTTGACTTTTTATCTAAAGTTTTTTTTTATTTTTATTTTTTGGAGACAGAGTCTTACTCTGTGGCCCAGGCTGAAGTGCAGTCACGTGATCTCAGCTCACTGCAACCTCTGCCTCCTGGTTTCAAGCAATTCTCATGTCTCAGCCTCCTCAGTAGCTTGGACTACAGGCACACACCACCACACCTGGCTAATTTTTTGTATTTTTAATAGAGACGGGGTTTCACCGTATTGGCCAGGCTGGTCTCAAACTCCTGACCTCGGGTGATCCACCAGCCTTGGCCTCCCAAAGTGCTGGAATTATAGGCATGAGTCACCATGCCTGGCCTTATAAAAAGTATTTTAAATCCTCATTTATAACATCATTCATAAATTCTTTTAATTTAGAAAGTTATACTAAAAAGTGGAAGACATGTACCACTATGTAGCTTAATGTGCATATGTCAAGGGCATTGTATATTCAGATACTGTATTTCCTTTGATAGATGCAAACTTGCAGGTGGATTTTAATGAATAAGCATAACCAAAAATATGGAACATCGCTGTAAATCTGTTCTATTGGATTTGAGGAGTCCCCCTGAGCTCATTTCCTCATTGTCTCTTGTTTTCCTTGACACACCATCCCTGTGGGTAGTGATTCAGGTCTCACCTCTGCTTTATGTCATCCTTCAGGTTCTAGCTTAAATGTCTCTTCTCAGGGAAACCATCCTTGACCACCATCTAAAGTAGGCAGCCTCTACCTGGTAATTCTCCTTCATAGAGTCCTTTTGTTTTCCTTTGTGGCACTTATCAGTGATCTGTAATCACATATTGATCTCTTGCCATTTATTCATTGTTGCCTATCTTCCCAGAGTGTGAGCCCCTTGAGGTCAAGACCATGTCTATTTTGCCATAATGGGATGCCTAGTGCTTGACTTAAGTGGATACTCCATAGAAGACACTGCATAGGTATTCAGTGGATACAAGAGTGAAACAGTGAATGAAGGAAGGTGGGCCTGGGCCAAGGAGCTGGGTGGCCAAGGTCAGGTTTAGACCATCAGCCCTACTCAGGACAAACGTCCTGACTCCTGCTTGGAGGCTTCCTCCCAGTCCTGCTCTGTGCTTCCCACAGCTGTTGATCATCTTACTGACAGGCAGACTTAGCCAAGAAAGTGGAAAGAGGAAAAGAAAAATGAGGCACAGGAGGGTAGAATGGAAAATCTCAGCTCTTTTAGCAGCCGCTCTTCCTTATTTCTTGCTAGAGTATTGGCATCTGTAAAAGCCTTGGCTGTCCTCCCCAACCTCCCCACTCAATCACAAACCGCAGCACCTAGAAAAAAATAAAGGCAAAAATCAATGTGCTAAATCTCAGTTGGGCTCAGTAGCAACTCCCTGCAGCTTCCCTCTTCATGCCATGGAACTGAGCTCTCCAGCCCTCTCTCTGAACTTGACTCCAGGGTTGGGGAACTTACATGCTAAAATATGCCCTCTCCCATTTGGCAACCCATTCCCAACCTGGTGAAGACCAAGGAGGAAGCTTCTGAGATTCTCCCCCTTGCCTTCCATTCGCAGCTCAGATTATCTGTCCAATGACTTCATCTATCCTCTCCTGCTGTCCACTCTTTGCTCCCTTTCTTCTCAGCCCTCACTCAGTCTCTGCCCTACTTACCCAGCCAGTGTGGCCTCTAAAGTTTTCCATTCAAAATTTCCCTCTTTACCTTCTCTTTTAGATGTGTAGAAAGTGAAAGGGAAAAGGAGATTGTTATCTGGGTACAGAGGGTTGAGTTGGGAAGAGAATCGTATTTTGATTATTAAAATATTAAAATGATACAGTTTCATTTCCACGTCACCACCACCGCCCACCCCTCCCTGCCCCCACCTTTTTTTTTTTTTTTTTTTTTTTGAGACAGAGTCTCACTGCATTGCCCAGGCTGGAGTACAGTGGCATGATCTTGGCTCACTGCAACCTCCGCCTCCCTGGTTCAAACAATTCTCATGCCTCAGCCTCCCAAGTAGTTGGGATTACAGGTGTGCGCCACCACACCCAGCTGATTTTTTGTATTTTTAGTAGAGGGGGTTTTGTAATCTTGCCCAGGTTGGTCTTGAACTCCTGGCCTCAAGCAGTCCACCTGCCTTGGCCTCCCAAAGTGCTGCAATTACAGATGTGAGCCACCCCACCTGGCCCATTTTTCCCTTAACTCATATTCTTTTCAGCTCTTCCCCTCCAAGTCTGAGCCAAGGAGTCTACTGCCCCAGGGAAGGAGAAGGTGAGAGCCATGGAGAACTAAGAGGCAACCAAGCACCTTTTGGTGTCAAATCTCACTTACTTGACCACTTAATCAGGAGCTTTCTCTTGAAAGCTAGGCTTTGTGGAAAAAGAGCAGGAATTTCTAAATTTTAGAACTCTTCCTTTAATGCATTGAAAGCCCTGCCTGGCTGGCTAGATGGATAAATTTTAGGAAAGGACGACGGTCCATGTCAGAGAGAAGACCCATCTCATTGGGTGCTAGAAAGAAGCATATGAGGGATACAAAGAGACAGAGCAGGGACAAGAGATCACATAGGTTCACATTCCTAGGGACAGACACTCAGGTAAGTGTGTGTGTGCACGTGCACGCTCATGTGTGAGGGCACATGCATGCCCGCAGGTGAAGAGCAGGGGAGAGAAGTAGGGAACCTGCAAATGTTAAAGTGAAAGGTGGGCTTGTGTCACACATACCTGGGCATGCCTTAGAGGAAGCTCCCAGCTCCCAACTCCCAACTAAAGTCCCACTTCTTCAGGGTGACAAGAAGCAGTCATAAAGGCATCCGCTGAGGAAGTGGCTGGATGAGGGAGCCTGGGGCAGCACTCCCAGCTCTCCACTGCTGGCTCAGGAGAGCAGAGGACTCAGATGATCTTACCAGGCCCAGAGAGGATGCCGAGAGGGCTGGGGACCCACAGAGGTTTGTGGTCAGGAAAAAGGGACTGTTAAGGGTGCAGACTTTGAGACCAGGGCCAATGGCTGGGCCCTGCCACACTTCTCAGTCCTTTTTGCAGATAATCCTTTATTCCTTTATATCCTTTATTCTTCTTGGTATCTAAACTCTGGACTTCCTAACTTCCTCTCTTAGTGATATAATCCAATGTCACAGCTTTAAACGCGTGCAAGTCTCTAGTCCTAGCTCTTCCTTGAACACCAGATTGTTAAAGGCAGTTCCTTCCTCACCATTTCCACTTACAAAATAAAAGTATCGGCTGGGCATGGTGGCTCACGCCTGTAATCCCAGCAGTTTGGGAAGCCAAGGTGGGTGGATCACCTGAGGTCAGGAGTTCGAGACCAGCCTGACCAACATGGTGAAACTCCCTCTCTACTAAAAATGCAAAAATTAGCCAGATGTAGTGGTGTGCACCTGTAGTCTCAGCTACTCAGGAGGCTGAGGCAGGAGAATTGCTTGAACCTGGGAAGCAGAGGTTGCAGTGAGCCAAGATCATGCCACTGCACTCCAGCCTGGGCAACAGAATGAGACTCCGTCTCAAAAAAATAAAATAAATAAATAAGTAAATAAAAGTATCCAAAACTGAGCTGGGTGTGGTGGCTCACGCCTGTAATCCCAGCACTTTGGAAGGCTGAGGCTGATGAATCCCCTGAGGTCAGGAGTTCGAGACCAGCTTGGCTAACGTGGTGAAAACCCATCTCTATTAAAAGTAAAAAAAAGTAGCCGGGCTTGGTGGCACATGCCTGTAGTCCCAGCTACTTGGGAGGCTGAGGCAAGAGAATTGCTTGAACCTGGGAGGCGGAGGTTGTAGTGAGCCGAGATCGCACCACTGCATTCCAACCTGGGCAACAGAGTGAGGCTCCATCTTGAAAATATATATATATCTCTCTCCAAAACTGAACTCCTTGACCTCTTCTGTCCCTAGAAAACTGCCCCCTCTCAGTCTTCCCTTTTTCCATATGGAAACACCAGTCTTCTAGTTGCTCAACGAAATCCCGCAAAACATGTGTGGTCCCTTTTTCTCCCCTGCCATTAGTAAACCTTGCCTACCCTGGCCTGTGCCCTTGTCATCTACCCCAGGATTTTGCAGTTGCCTCCTAACTCACCTTTCTTCTCCTACCCTTGCTCTCTACAGTCTATTCTCCACACAGCAGCTATAGTGAGACCTCTAAAATCTACCTGGTGCAGAATCTTCCACTGTCTTCTCATCTCATTTAGAGTAAAAGCAAAACTCCTTCCCATGGTCCTCCAGGCCCACCACAGTCTGTCTGCCCACTGCCTCTCCTGTTCACCTGCTCCAGTCTAGCCAGCTGGACCTCCTTGCTCTTCCTCTGACATCACACATGCTCTTGCCTGAGGCCTTTTGCACTTGATAGTCTCTATGCCTGGAAGGCCCTTCCCCATATTCAGACCTTCAGTGTCTTCGGGACTTAGCTTCAGATGGCTTCGTATTAATGGGGACTTCCCTGCCCACACTACCTGAATAATGATGGTCTCACCCTGCACGCCCTATTTCCCTCAGCCTGCCTCTCCACCCCCTGTATTGCTCATCTCCCTGACACATTGCAAGTTATTTGTCTATTTATTATCCACTGCACATCCAGAAGAATATAAGATCCATGAAGCCAGAGGGTGAGGACTTTGTTTTGTTCACTGCTATATATTCAGCACCCAGAACACACCTGGTACATAGCAGGGGTTCAATCCATATTGTGAGTGAGATGATTGAACAAAGGTTCCGGGTCCCCCATCTCTGCCACCACCAACTCCTGAAGACTCTCTACCTTCCCATGCACTATCCTGAAAAGGAACCAGCTGTGGAGGAAATCTGAACAACTTAACTTGAAACCAGAAAGAGTCTGAGTGATCTAGAAGCAAGACTACCTGTGGCCAAATAAGCTATGAAACCATACGCTGAGCAAGTATTACTTTTCTTTCTCTTAGTAGTTACCCAGTGGGTTGGAGGCTGCTGATGAAGAGCAGATCAGTTATGAGAAATTAAAAAGCTACATTTTCTTGGCACATCTGAGTGAACGGTGGCAACAAACATATTTCTGTACATGTGAATCTGTGTGGCTCCTTGCATGAGTCCAAGGAGCACATGTGATCACCTGCCTTTGTGTGCAATATGACAGAGGATGCATGAGACCAAATCTCTGCCTTCAAAATGCCAGCTAGCTGGGGTGCTATGATACATATTGTAGAGTTGGAGACATCCTCACGAAAGCAAGTGGCCAGATTCAATTATACAACCGCAAAACCACAAAATCTTTTGACAAAGTTGTCCTGGTATGAAAATGTTAGGAAGAATGCATGCTCCTCCAAACTGGGTTGTAGGAGGGGCAGTGGAGTGGACATGGCAGTGTCAGGTCTCTATTACCTGACTGAGTGGGCCAGGCTTAGAGCTGGGTGTCAGAACAGTCATGTCTAGACAGCCCTCTAACAAACAAAAGGAGATGTAACTTCTCAGAACTCACTTGTTTCCATCCTTTGGAAACCATTTCTCAGAACAACTGCTCCAAGAAAGACTTGAGAAACCATCCTGTGGATTGAAAAGGATCAAGAAACCACTGGTTGCTATACTCAAAGGGAAAGAAGGGTCCATCTGAAGTCTTGCTGGCAAGGAATCCATGTCCTGATTTGCATACACGGAGTGTGTAGGGATCTCAGCCAACGAGAGCTTTATTTCTGCTACCTAGCGTTTGTGAGAGGAATGTCTAGATGTGACTATTCTGACACATTGCCACTGTTACCTGTCTTCTTCTACAGTGAGGGCACTGCTCTTCAACCAACAAATGTGGATTGCACACCAAGCCCGTCCCTGTTCTCCGTGGCAGGACACTGCCTTCATTCAGGGAGTCACTGTTTTAAATCTGAGCTACCCTTAATGCTTTCACATGGATGTGTGAACTGCACAGGCCAAACCTCTCCCACAAATCCCTGCTGACGGCAGCAGTACTATGTGATTCCTGTAGTATTGATCTGTGACTGACTCACAGACTATCCCAAACCTAGCCATTTAAAACAGAAAGTATCAATTACCTCACAGTTCCTATGGGTTAAGAATCTGAGTTGGTTTAGCTGGTGCTTCTGGCTCAAGGTCTCTGGCCAGGGCTGCAGTCTTATCTGAAAGCTCAAAGGGAGAAGAGCTGATTCACAACCCACTCATGTGGCTGTTTGCAGGCCTCCAAAGATCTGCTTCCAAACTTATTCATGTGGGCTACCTCCATGACACGACAGCCGGAATCTTCAGAAAGAGTAATCAGAAAGAGAGCAAGAGGCTGGTCTTGGTGGCTCATGCCTGTAATCCCAGCACTTTGGGAGGCCAAGGCAGGCAGATCACTTGAGGCCAGGAATTCGAGACCAGCCTGACCAACATGGCCAAAGCCCATCTCTACTAAAAATACAAAAAAAAAAAAAAATCAGCAGGATATGGTGGTATAGCCCTGTAGTCCCAGTTACTTGGGAGGCTGAGGCACAAGAATCACTTGAACCCAGGAGGTGGGGGTTGCAGTGAGCTGAGATCACGCCACTGCACTCCATTCAGGCTGGGTGACAGAGAGACTCCATCTTAAAAAAAAAAAAGAGAGAGAGAGAAAGCAACAGAAAGTAATCAAGATGTAAGCCAGAGGCATTTTATAACCTAATATCTTGGAAGTGACATACCATCACTGAAGCCAGTCAAAAAGTCCAGTCCACAATCAAGGGAAGGGATTACATAAGGGTGTGAATACTAGGAGGTGGGGTTCACTGGGGCCATTGTAGAGGCTGCCTACCACAATTCCTTAATCCCAAATTTCCTTCCTGCTACCACATGGATGCTGCTTCCTGAGCCACAGCTGATTGGACCAAGAGCAGGCTTCTGACTCAGGCACATCCATCCCGCAAGCTGGCCAGGTGTGTCTTGGTATGAGAGCTAAGTCCAATAGAGGTGAAGATAATAAAGTCCAACCAATTACCTTCTCTCTCTATGTTCAATTTGATCTGAAGGTACAGCAAGTGGGAACAGTGTCACTGAACCCTATCAACAGCAGAGCATGAGAATGTGAATTCCTGTTGTTGGGGAGGCAATGAAATGATATGGGCCTTGAGATGTCTATGAATCCTGACCCACCATGGGTGCCAGTCTTCAAGAGGGTAAGCTGTGCTACCTTTTCACCCTTTGAAACCTGCTTGTTCTGCCCTTCACACATTCCCACAAGTTATTACTGCCTGGCTGAGAGATTTCCTGTTTTACTTATTTTCCCATAAAGAAACCATCTCTTAGCACTCATGCCTTAAGGAGGACTATGCCCTGCCATCAGGGGAGTCTAAGACCATGTGGTGACATCAGGTGGTATACCACAAACATGGTCAGGTCAATAAATGCATGGGTGCTCACAGCAATAAAAGATCTATTAATCAACAGGTATTTTTAAAAATAGCCACCATTTATTAAAGGTACTTATCTCAGTGCTTTGCCTGAGTTATTTTATTTAATGCTCACAATAACCTTATGACCTCTGTCTTATTATCTCTGTTTTACCAATAAAAACAGAGCCTTGGCCAAGTTCAAATAGCTAAGGAGCAGAGTCAAGATATGGGTCTAAGTTTTTCTCATTCTAGAGCCCATTACATTAAGCCACCTTTCCAGAAACTTCCATTTCCAGATATGTCTCCATCCTCAGGTGTGACCTTAGATATGTGTGCGATAAATAATTTCGCATTGCCTAAAGAGAGGCCTGGACTTTGTGCTCAGCTCTTAAGAGGCAATCTCTAAGCCCTTGGAATGTCCTGCCTGATAAAAGTTTTCCTGAGGGCTTTGGGCCATACCAGAAAGTCTAACATTGTGATGTATGGTGGGGTCTTTGAGTCATGTGGTATCAGCTTAACTTCTAGAGCGGCTGGGGACTTAGGCCAACCACATGGGCAGTGACCGTGTCTATGTGATGAAGCCCAACACAGACTCTGGACACCAAGGCGTGGGGAACTTCCCTGGTTGGCAGTATTCCATGTGTATTGTCACACATCATTACTGAGAAAGTAATACTGGGTATGTCTCCTTGGGAGAACACAACTGGAAGCTCTGTGTGTTTGGAACTTTCCTGGATTCTACCCCGTGCATTTCTTCCCTTAGCTGTTTTTATTCTGTTTTCTTTCACTGTAATAAACCATAACTCTGAGTAGAACAGCTTTCAGCAAAGCTATGAGTCCTTCTAGTAAATATCAAACCTGAAAGTGGTTTGGAGAACCGCTGAACTTGCAGTTAATGTCAGAGTCAGGGCAATTTTGTGATCTGTTCCCTCACTTTGTAATGTGTCTCTTAGGCTCTCAGCCTGGGTTTCCTCATCCATGACACTGGACAAGGTGATAACAATTGCTTTACTTATGTGGAGCCAGAGACAGTGTGGATAACAAGCTCTGGGAGTGGTGTGGTGCGCATCCGGAGAAACCATATGTGGCAGCCCCGGTTATCTTGGAAGTGGTTGTTAAGGACTAAATCTTTTTTTTTCTGAGATGGAGTCTGGCTCTGTTGCCCAGGCTGGAGTGCAGTGGCGAGATCTCTGCTCACTGCAAGCCCCACCCCCCGGGTTCACGCTATTCTCCTACCTCATCAGCCTCCTGAGTAGCTGGGACTACAGGCGCCCACCACCACACCCAGCTAATTTTTTTTTTTTTTTTTTTTTTTTTTGTATTTTTAGTAGAGACAGGGTTTCACCATGTTAGCCAGGATGGTCTCAATCTCCTGACCTTGTGATCCGCCCGCCTCGGCCTCCCAAAGTGTTGGGATTACAGGCGTGAGCCACTGGGACTGAATCTTTTTGACATGTATTGAGCATCCGTTCTGGAGAGCCACAGATAAGACATGACCCTTGTCCTCAAGGGCTTATCTTGTAGGGATGAGACCAATAGGAAAGAAACATTTGATGAGAAACAGTGCCACAACCATGTTTTTAAAAAAAATCTTATTGGAGCATTACAAAGATACAAAAAGTACACACATTTGCTTGTATGGCTCGATGAATGCTCATGAAGTGAACACGTGTGTCATGTAACCACCCAGGTCAAGAAGCAGAACATGCCCCAGAAGCGTCCCAAAGCCCTCACTCTCTTCCTAATCACTTTTCTTCTTCCTCCCCACATGAGGCCACTACCTTGACTTCCAGCACCAGGCTTGCGTGTTTTTAAACTTTATGTAAGCGGAGTACTACCATATGTATTCTTTTTGTGTCTGGCTTCTTGCTTAACGTTATGTTTGTGAGATCCATTCAAGCTGGAGCTTGAAGCTGTGACTCATTTATTTCACTGCTGTAAAGAATTATGTTTTATGAACATACCACAATATACAATATATAAAAATCTACTCTACCCCTGATGTACATTTGGGCTTTTTCTACCTTTTGGCCAACAAAGATTATACTGTGCTAAGCAACCTTAGAGGTAGGTGTCTTTGGAAGCACATATGTGTGCATTTCTGTTGGCTATCATGGCAGGTGAAGTAATGATCCCTCAAAGATGCCTGTGTCCTCATCCCTAGATCCTGTGAATATGCTACATTTCATGGCAGAGGGAATGAAGGTAGAAGATGGAAGTAAATTTGTTAATAGCCAGCCTTAAAGTAGGAAGATTATTCTGGATTATCTAGGCAGACCCAGGGTAGCACAAGCATCCTTAAATGTGGAAGAGGGAGACAGAAGAGGACGTCACAGTGGCGTAATGTGAGAACTCTCCTTTGCTAGCTTTGGGACCATCAGACAAGCACTGTGCCTGGGCCTCTAGGAGCTGAAATGGTTAAGGAAATGGATTCTTTCATAGGGTTTCCAGAAGGAACACACCTTTGCTGACACCTTGATTTTAAGTCAGGAGATCCATTTCCGACTTCTGAGCTGCAGAACTGTAGGATAATAAACTGGTATTCTTTTAAGCCACTAAGTTTGTGGTCATCTGTTATGGCAGTGATCGAAAATTAATACAACTGTATTCTTATAAGTAGAATAACTGAATATGTACATGTTCATCTCTTATGGAGATTGTCACGCAGTTTTCGATTGTGGTTGTATCAATTATACTCCCACCAGGAATGTAGGAGTGTTCCCATTGCTCCACACCCTCATCAATGCTTGGTGTCATCAGTCTTTTTAATTGTAGCCATTCTGTTATGATATCTCATTTCTATTTCAATATGTGTTCCTCTAATTATGAAGACAGTGGGGTAACTTTTCATATGATTATTGAACATTTGGGTTTCCTTTATCGTGAAGTGCTGATCAAATCTCTCACCATGTGTGATATTGGGATAGAAGAAGATATATTTGGCCTTCATCCCCAGTTGCTGCCACAGAGTTCCTGAAACTTTTATAATTTCCTTTGGTAAAATGTTTAATTAACTGATCTTCTTTGATATCTTTTATTCTCGTAAGGAGCATCTTTTCTTCTAATATTTGGTCTTTAACCCCGGTTCCTGACACAGAGATCCTAAATTCCTTGAAATGTTCTAGGTGACAGTAGTGTCTTTTGTCAAATGAGATGACTGTTGGTGGGGCCCTGGATGGGGGCTGCTCACCAGAAATGTATGATACTGCTGTGGTTAGATGCTTGGAACTTTCAGCCCTACCCCCTATCCTCCAGGAGGGGAAGAGGGCCTGGAGATGGAGTTAATAATTGGTTATGCCTATGTGATGAAACCTCCATAAAAATCCCTGACATATGGGGTTCGGAGAGCTTCTGGGTTGGTGAATACATCCACATGCTGGGAGGGCGGTGTACCCAAACCGTAACGGGACAGCAGCCCCTGCACGCAGGACCCTTCTCCACCTCACCCTGTACACCTCTTCATGTTGCTGCTCCTCTGTCTCCTTTATTATATGGTAAACCAGCAAACATCAGTGTTTCCCTGAGTTCTGTGAGCGGTTTTAGCAAATTGTCACACCTGAGGGGAGTTGTGAGAACCTCTGATGTGTAGCCAAGTCAGACAGAAGTGTGGGTAACCTGGGGACCCACCTGTGATTGGCGTCTGAGTGGAGGGCAGTCTCGTGGCCTGATCCCTCAATGTGGGGGATCTGCACCAACTCCAGGTAGGCAGTATCAGAATTGCTTGGTATGGGAAACCCACACATTTGGTGTCAGAAGTATTGACTACAGATGGAAAAACAGCTTTTTCTTAGTACCATGCTATACCTGTTTGCTGTTGTGATAAAAGAGGAATAGACTTTAGAAGATATCTCTCTATTTATTCATAAAGCCATTCTGTATTCTCAAGTAACAAAATTAGGATTTTCTTTAATATTTTATGAGATTTTTTTCTTTTCTTACTTGTCTTTAAAATAGTATTGCAAACAGGAGCAGATTCTTCATCTGGCTATCACAGCATGGCTATTTTAGTGGGCTACAACATAAACCCACACACATACACACACACATACACTCACACAGCGTTGCAAACATATATGGGACAGTGGAAAGAAATATGAAACAGCTCTTAAAGCCACTAATAAATATTTTAAAACAGTAGTCTTAAACACTAACAGACCATTAGGGTATTATTTATAGATTAATAATCTCTGCATGAGACTATTTCATTCAGAGGCTCTGTGATGAGTGTATTTGGGCTGGCCTGGGTATTGAATGATGAGATTGATATATTTATTATTTTCTTTCCAGCTGATATAACTTCTAAAATAAATCATTCATACAGTTGGTGACTCATACAATCCATTTCAGTATGCTCAGCTACATGTTAGGAGATTTTTGTTTAATTTAAGCATTTTCATTATTGTAGATTTTTATTGTTCACTGTTTACTTTTAAGTCTTGGGCACTTGCTATAATAAGGTTACTTGTCAGAGACTGCAGATAAAGAACAGCAATTCAACAATTAAAAGGCAACCAAGAATGCAATCTGTCGAGTAGCAAAAAAAAAAAAAAAAAAAAAAAAATCAGATCTGAAACTGCATGAAGATGGGCTGAAGGCCAAAACTATTATGCAAAATATGATTATTTCCAGTGGTAAACCAATATGTTTTGGGCTCCTGTGTTACATAGGGGATTTTGTAAGAGAATCAGAGCATCAGCATTTGGTAGGACACAATTCTTAGACTATCTCCTCACAGAATTCCCTTTTAATACTTTCAGGATTTGTTATACCAGGCCCTAATCCTTTCCTCTTCCTCTTTTCCTCTTTGTTTCTTCCCTTTACCAGTCCTCTGTTTTTTTTTTTTTTCTTGAGATTGAGTCTTGCTGTATCGCCCAGGCTGGAGTGTAGTGATACAGTCTTGGCTCACTGCAACCTCCACCTCCCAGATTCAAGCGATTCTCCTGCCTCACCCTCCTGAGTAGCTGGGACTACAGGTGTGCACCACCATACCTGGCTTTTTTTTTTTTTTTTTTTTTTTTTTGTATTTTTAGTAGGGACGGGGTTTCACCATGTTGGCCAAGCTGGTCTCAAATTCCTGACCTCATGATCCACTTGCC